AAAATGGAAGACTGTTCTGTGGTCAGATGAGTCACGATTTGAAGTTCTTTATGGAACACTGGGACGCCATGTCATCCGGACCAGAGAGGACAAGGATAGCCCAAGTTGTTATCAACGCTCCGTTCAGAAGCCTGCATCACTGATGGTATGGGGTTGCATGAGCGCTTGTGGCATGGGCAGCTTGCATGTCTGGAAAGGCACCATTAATGCAGAGAACTATGTTCAGGTTCTAGAACAACATATGCTCCCATCTAGACGTCATCTCTTTCAGGGAAGACCTTGCATTTTTCAACACGATAATGCCAGACCACATTCTGCAGCAATCACAACATCATGGCTACGTAGGAGAAGGATCCGGGTACTGAAATGGCCAGCCTGCAGTCCAGATCTTTCACGTATAGAGAACATTTGGTGCATCATAAAGAGGAAGGTGCGACAAAGAAGGCCCAAGATGATTGAACAGTTAGAGGCCTGTATTAGACATGAATGGGAAAGCATTCCTATTTCTAAACTTGAGAAACTGGTCTCCTCTGTCCCCAGACGTCTGTTGAGTGATGTAAGAAGAAGGGGGATGCCACACAGTGGTAAAAATGGACTTGTCCCAACTTTTTGGGGATTTGTTGACGCCATGAAATTTGGAAACAACAGATTTTTCCCTTAAAATGGTACATTCTCTCAGTTTAAACTTTTGATCTGTGATTTGTGTTCTATTCTTAATAAATATTAGATGTTGGCATCTCCACAGCATTGCAATCAGTTTTTATTCACAATTTGTTTAGTGTCCCAACTTTTTTGGAATCTGGTTTGTACATATATACATATACACACACATACATATATACATATACATACACATACATTGTGATGGCTATTCTTGCTTCATTATAAGCTTCAAAAAGTTTGAGCCAGAATAGCCTTGTGGAGGAGGTTCTCGACGCACAACAAAATACATAAGCACTCGCAGAGAGAATTCTTGTTTCAAAAGTTTGGCATTTAATTTCCTTGTTGAATTTTACAAAATCATTCTCCGAGTTGATTTCTTACAAATCTCAAAATTTAAATAATTTGTGTGTGGTAAAGTAAACCGTTTCACACCTCTCTCCTTCACTGCAAAAAAACAACAATCAGCCCCGCAGCAGCTGAATTCCATGTTTTAATCACTGCCACGGCTGATCCCAGCTCGCTAGGGGGAGCCATAAACAACTAAATAAGAAGAAACATAATAGTTCTTCTGCAATCTGTAATATTTAACGTAGTTTTAAATCAATATTCATCATTTAGCAAATAATTCATTCATTCAATACTTAAAGGGCTCCAACATGCATATATACATATACACACATACATATATACATACACACACACACACACACACATACATATATTCAATTCAAAAATACTTTATTAATCCCAGAAGGAAATTAAATGTTGTTGTAGCTCATTTTCCTTGTTTCATAAAAGACTTGTTCTAGATGTTGATGGTTGTGTGCGGGAAGGATCTCTTGTGATGGTCCATCTTATAGAAGATCTCAAAAAACTGGCCACAGATGTTGATCCGTTTACTTGCACTTGGTTGGCCTCCTGGGCTTCAGGATCACCTGAATGTTGGGCAGAACTCCTCCCAGGGCAATGGCCACTCCTCCCAGCAGCTTGTTGAGCTCCTCATCGGTGCGGACAGCCAACTGTAGGTGCTGATGGACGATCCTGTCCTTCCGCTGTCATGAGCCGTGTTTCCTGCTAGTTCCAGGATCTCAGTGGTCAGGCACTCGAGCACAGCTGGCAGGTAGATGAAAATGCATCCAAAGAACATCCTTTTAAACTCATTTGAAATTTAGGGCTGTAGTTGAGATATTACTTGAGCTTTTGAGATGTTAATCAGCTGCTGTTGGTTGTAGAAACTGCCTTGTTGCCATGGTTATGCATCATAACAAATGTCCAAATCTAAAAATGTTTCAGTAAAAATCCTTCCAGCTGCACAGCATCCGACACCAGAGGAAACGATCTTCCAAAAAATGTGATTTACATCCAGAAAAAGAGGAATTAAAGTTCCAAAAGCAAAATCTCAGAATGAAAGTAACAGAGCTGCTCCAACATGCAGCCACCTTGAGCGGCGCAATATATATAATATACATACATACACACGCATACATATATACACACACGCATATATATATATACATACACACGCATACATATATACATACACACGCATACATAAATACATACACACACGCATACATATATACATACACACGCACGCATACATATATACACATACATATATGCATACATATATATATATATATATATGTATATATATATATATATGAAAAACATATTTTTTTTAATAAAAGCCACAACTTTTGTCCAAAATTGTCCAATCTGTAAATACCTTTAAACATGTCTCAAAAAACCGGAATGACCTGTCCACTGCTGTCCGACAGTCCACATGCAGTATGGACAGCTGGACTCACAAACCAAGGCACAGTTTGGAGAGCACTTAACGTGAACGGGACTAAAATAACCGTTTCCTCATGATATCTGACACGACGTTACGGTTTCACTGTCGAGTTGTTAAGCCTTAAGTAGGGCGAGAATGAGTGAATGAAGTTATGTGATGGTCTTGTGCTGTCCCATTCGCATTTGCCTCCGGCTCCAGAGTCCAAACAGCCCGAACAAGAAATGTGGCTGTCCTTTCACTCGAGTTTACATTGGTGTTCTGCCCTCCTGTTAGTCCCACCATTGAATCCAGACTTCGGTTTGCACTAGTGTTCAGTTGTTCTTCTATCACACAATGAACTTCTTCAGCTGTTCATAAGTCAGGAAAAACTGAATGTGGAGTAAAGGAAGACACATTTATTTATATAGCACATTTAAAAACAGTAACTGTTATCAAAGTGCTTACCAAAAAAGATTGCAGCATCAAATATTAATAACAAGCTATTACAGTATCATGAAAAGAAGCATAAAAACATGAAATATAATTAGAAACAATGAAATACTAAATCAAATCATCACCCTGTGTTAAATGTCAGGGAATAAAAGCAAAATGGATGAGCACAATCATCAACAATGAAATACCAAATGAGATCACACTGTGTTAAATGCCAATGAGTACAGATGTGTTTTGAGGAGAGATTTAAAAGCAGAGACTGAGGTGGCCTGTCTAATGTTATGGGCAGATTGCTCCAGAATTTATGGCCTATGACTGAAAACACCCAATCTTCTCTGAGCTTCAACCTTGTTTTTGGTACCACCAAAAGCAGATGGTCTGATGATCTCAAGGCCCAAGAAGGAGCATAAGGATGAAGAAGGTCGGAGAGGTATGAGGGTGCAAGGCCATTAACACACTTAAATGTCAGCAGAAGAATCTTAAAATCAATTCTGACACACACAGGAAGCCAGTGAAGGGAGGACAGAACCAGAGTAATGTGCTCAAACCTACGAGTTCCTGTTAGTAGCCGAGCTGCAGCATTTTGGACAAGCTGGAAACGTGAGAGGGAGACCTGACTGACCCCAGCATAAAGAGAGTTACAGTAGTCCATCCGGGTTGTAATAAATGCATGGACTAATTTTTCAAGGTCGGAACTGGACAGCACAGACTTGAGCTTAGCTATCTGCCTTAGCTGAAAGAAGCTTTTTTGAACAACAGTTTATCCGCTTATTAAAATTAAAAGTCCGAATCTAAATCTACCCTGAGATTGGTCACAGACTGTTTTAGATGTGGCTGAAGGGAGTCCAGGTTTGCAGGATAAGTGGCATAGCTAGGGTTAAACACAATGACCTCAGTCTTCTGATCATTAAAACTCAAAAAGTTCGCAGCCATCCAAGTCTTGATGTCATCAAAACATTTTAGCAAAGGGCGAATGGAGGAGGAACTGTTAGGTGTTAATGGCAGATAAATCTGAGAATCATTAGTATAACAATTAGGGATGGGGCCGATCCGGTATCGGTATAGGCCTCTTATACCAGCATAATTTACGCATCGATTTTTCCGATACACCTGCCAATATTTCCGATCCATGATGCATGTTGGCTTCAAACTATGGAATGGATTTCCTGAACGGCGGCGTGTCTCATGAGCCCAGAGTAATAAGACCCGCCTCACATTCAGGAAATCCATTTCATAGTTTGCAGCCAGCTACAACGTGAGGACCGAGTTAGCAGCACTGTGGCTAACTTCTAACAAACTTTTCATCTAAACATGTCCGCTGTGTGGAAGTATTTTACACTAGAAACACCAAAAAACAAGACAGCAACGTGCAATGTCTGCAGAGCCATAGCACCACATTAAACCATAGTAAAGTTAGTTTTACGATGGACTTTGAGCTCTGTGGCTTCAGCGGGGCAGTACTCTTTGGTCAAACCGAAAGAGGCGACTCGACACCGGCCAGCCGCGTCCAATCTGCCCTACTCAGTCTGCCCGTCTCTGAGGAGGGACAGATTGAGCGCGGCTGCCCCAAATCAGGCTGCCTGCTTCGGATTGAACAAGAAGTAGACGTAGCTGAAACCACGGAGCTCAAATGTTGACAGAGAAGTTGCTAAACTTCATCATAATTAATGACCAACCACTATCAGTTGTAGAAAACGAAGGATTTCACAGCTTGATACTTGCAGCCAAGATATAGTTTACACTCCAGGAGATATTTATCAGTACAACAGTAAACAATCATAAAAAAACATGATTTGAAAATTATATATATTAAAAACATAAACAGCTACATTGTAAAGTGATGTAAAATACTAAAAACAGGAACATGTCTGTTGGTTTATGCCATGAACTTAGATGTTTAAAGCCATTTAACATTTTATTTTATTTAATTCATTTATTCATTCATTTAAATGAAACAAAATTTAAAAAAAAAAATCAAAAAGAAAACATTGAATTAAAAGAGTGCAGAAAGAAGAAAAAATTCTTATATCTGCCCCTTATAAAATATAAAACAACTTTAAACAATCATTTAAATTAATCACTTTAATATCCACTTTAAAGCTAGGAATAAAAAGAAACATGTTTTGTGTTAGCAGAATTTAATTCTAACTTTAAAACTTATCCATCATTAATAAAACTTACCTCAAGTTGCCTTTTTGGACATGCATGCATATATTTGTACAAACTGTACTTGAGGAGATTATTACAGCCTCATATAAAATCAATGATGATGATGATATTGGAACTGGATCGGTATCGGCCGATACTCAGATCTAAGTATAGGGAATGGAAGTAAAAAAAGTGGATCGGTGCATCCCTAATAACAATGAAAGTAAAGACCATGTTTCCTGAGGATAGACCATAAGGGAAGGAGATACAATGAAAACAGAAGGGGTCCAAGAATGCAGCCTTGCGGGACCCCGTAGGAAAGAGGCACAGAAGTAGATAGTGTTAGCAAAATTAACACAGAAACTCCCGTTGCTCAGGTATGAACAGAACCATTCTAATGCTGCACCAGTAATCCCAACCCAGTGTTCTAGTCATGACAAAAGGATACTGTGGTCCACAGTATCAAATGCAGACGTAAGGTCAAGGAGTACCAGAACTACAGACTGACTAGAGTTATTAGCCATACGAATGTTGTTGCAGACCCTAACTAAGGCTGTTTTGGTGCCGTATCGTTTCTTAAAGCCAGACCGAAAGATCTCAAGAATAGAATTTCTATTCAAGAACTCATTTAATTGAGTGAAAACTATTTTCTCCAGGATCTTAGAAAGAAAGGGAAGTTTGGAGATAGGTCTTAAGTTTGAGCAGGTTGAAGGGTCAAGTCCAGGCCCAGGAAGATAAAAGTATATATTTCGAGAAAAATAGGAGGTAAATTAAGAGAATACTAACCATTTCAATTCGTCAGCCTTTAAATTAGCTCAGATTCCAGCTGTAAAAACTTTGATTCATATTACAGCTTTTAAGGCTGAAGTGGTGAATATTTACTAACACAAGATTTCTGCTAAACACATTTAATTAGACTTAATACTTGCATGAAGAATTTTTCTACATTCTTTACTCTCTTGCTTCACTCTAAAGCCCCCAGTATACTGCCGCGTACATCCATACGCAGAGGTACGCACGTGTAGTGAACTAAGCCTCAGGTCAAAGTCCTGGCCTTGAGGGCCTTCCTGGGACAAGAACTGTATTTCATTGATTTGAGTCCAAAAACACAAGATTAAGTTCATCCAGAGACTTTCTAAGTGTCCTGCACTGATCAATTGAAAGAACACTCTCTTTTTCTATTATCATTACTATTTTACAAATGTTTTGATAATCAAATTGTGTTTAGTTCAAACCATTTTTAAATGTTGAAGTGAACTACTCATTTAAATCAACTGTGAAACTGTATTAGTGATTTTTAATCCTCATTCAAAGTAGAAATCAAATTGGAATGTGTTACGGAGTAATTCATGCATTTTCTGATCTTCTGTCTGAAATGAGAACATTGTGAAGTTGGTCAAAGGTCGAAAACAAGTTGTTGGAACGAACTGTCATGTTTTTAAATCCTCTCAGACGTAATATAGAGAAGCTGGCACCTGTTTTCACCCAACTTGTCCAAACATTTCTCTAGTCTGTCTCTAAAACATTTTCAATCTGTTCCAAAACATTTTCTGTTTTCCTTGACTTTTAATAACCTCTTACATCACAAAACACACCTCTGTTTTGGTCCATCGACCAATCAGGAACCTCCCAAATGAACCGGAAATAGAACTCTTTAAATGTCGGTACTTCCTAGTTCAAGTCGGGCTTCAGTCGTTTGCAGCTCCAGTCGAGTGCAGTCGAGTTCAGTTCTGGGAGCAGAACCGAACGGAAGAAGTGCTGGGAGAACAGAAGTCCAGACATGATCCAGAGCTCTTCCGAGTCTTGTGGGAATTATGCAATCTTCCACATCTGAGTGGAACTTCTGAAGGACTCCACTCATGTGAAGTCCACTCGTGAGGTGAACTGTTGTTGATGAAGTCCCGCCACCACTCCGGACGGTTCTCTGCCATCCTACGGAGACGCTGGACCGGTAGCGTTAACTGGAGCTCCGTATCCGCTGATTCATCGTCAGAGAGGTAATGAGTCGAGTTTACTACCGAGCGTACCGAGGAAAGCTGGGTTCGAATGGAGGGTGCCGTTCTGTTCAACACTTTCACTCACACACCATTTCCCTCCCTCTAAACTTCATTTTCCATCTTTAAACTCTTCTATTCTGCTAGCAAATCATTCCAGATATTTTCAGAAATGTCTGTTGTGAAGCAAAGGGAAATCATGGCCGGATGGTTTTCCTGTTTGTAAAGCTGATTAATAAGCTGTTGTTATTTTCAATTTTGCCAAATTAATGTAAATGTTTGATGTTAAATTTTGATTCTGAAAATAAATGACCACGTTCATTTTGATGGGTCAAAGGAAATTAACGTCTCACGTTACATTTTTAATAATTAAATGCACGACATTATTCAGTCCAGAAAAATGAATGAATCCGTTTAAGTTATGAATATATCACAGAATATGTTCATCTACACACGTACGTACACAGAGGTACGAGCGTACCCCCCAAGGCATGTCCGTGCAAAGCTCAAATCTTTACGACCGCATAGGCGTATGCAGTGTCGCACAATAAAATGCCCAGCAACGGACTGTTTTGTATGCGACACCAATGTATTAAATTCCCCTTCTTCATCTCTGATCTGGCCTTTTCTTTTGTTTTTTTGCCAAGAGGCAGTGATCTCTTCCTCCTCCGTTGATGCCATGACTGAAATGGTGAGAAATGAAGGAATTTGTCACGAGCGAATTAAACTCAGGTCCAGCACGGCTGCGGGAGGGTCTGGAGATTTCCTGGTGTGCTGGTCTGATGTGTGGGCTATAGAGCCAGCACTCACTGTTTCTTTTTTATTTTTTAGATCTTTTTATTAACAACATACAAACACAGAACACCGCTGTGGCTGCCAGCGCTGGCTTTTTTTTCCCCTTTTCTTCCGACCTGTCAATTAATCCAGTAGGCGTGTCAGCAAATGACCAATCGGCGACCTCAATTTGTCCCGAAGGTAAACGCCCTTGTCTGTGAAGCTGCTCTGCAGCTGTTCGGGGTGTACGCTGGAGTATCATGTCTGAACCCTCTGCGTACAGTACACGCGTACGTCCGTTCACGCGTACGTACGCGGCAATATACTGGAGTCTTTAAAAGAGAGGAAAACAGAAAAAATGTGCAAATTTTGATACAAACCCCAAATTTGGTGATTTTCTTGAAGTATTTGTCAAATCTGCCTGATTCATTTGAAAATCCAAGATGGTGGGTGTTTTTTTCAAGATGGCTGCCAATATGAGATGTAATCTGTACAAAAACTTACATTTTAAATTATATTTGTGTCAATTTGTTTTTCTTCATTCGGTTACCTTGTATTCTGCAAGTAACACATATTAGTACAGTAATAATAATATAATAGTTAATTAATTAAATTAATCAGGGGGAGTGGTGGCGCAGAGGCTAGAGAAGGCGAGCCTGTGATCAGAAGTTTGCCCGTTTGACTCCCCGGACTGACAAGGTCAAAATGTGGGTGGAAAAGGTGAAACACCCACACCTGCCTCCACCATCATTTACCCAACTCTGGGCCCTTGAACAAGGCCCTTAACCAGATAGCAGCTCTCTGATCCACACAGAGGGCTGTGGTAACTTGTTGGTCTGTGGTTGTGTCATGAAGGACATCCGGCATAAAAACAATCACAAGTTCTTCGTGCGAGTTAGTTGGCTGTTGCGACCCAAAACTTGGTGCTTGTATATTTTAGGTTTCAGCTACTGCACTATCCAGCTGGTAGTGGTGATGAGGGAGAGGTTGGAGAAAGTTTCAGTACATTAAATAATTACAGATTTAAACTAAACTTCACCACAAGAGGAGAGCGGCTCAGATTGCTTTGCTTTGTCAAATCCGTAACAGCCTTCTCCAGCCTGGAGAACAGTGTATGAAAGAGTGTGTAAAGAGCTGGAAAGATGAAAGGATACGATAATGTTCCACGGTCCAAGGCGGAGCCAGTTGGGGAAGAAGCCCTTATACAGCGCCATGAAGCCCTCAGAGCGCCAAGTCTGCACGAAGAAACACAAAAGAGATTACAAAACAACCCACAACAATTGTTCTCCTGACCTGAACCCCATAGAGAACCTGTGGGATATTGTGAAGAGAAAGTTGAGAGACGCAAGACCCAACACTCTGGATGAGCTTAAGGCCGCTATCGAAGCATCCTGGGCCTCCATAACACCTCAGCAGTGCCACAGGCTGATTGTCTCCATGCCACGCCGCATTGAAGCAGTCATTCATGCAAAAGGATTCCCGACCAAGTATTGAGTGCATAACTGAACATGATTTTTTGAAGGTTGGCGTTTTTTTGTATTAAAAACACTCGTCTTTCATTGGTGGGATGAAATATGCTAATTTTTTGGGACAGGCATTTTGGGTTTTCATGAGCTGTATGCCATAATCATCCGTATTAAAACAATTAAGACCTGAAATATTTCAGTTGGTGTGCAATGAATCTGAAATATATGAAAGTTTCATTTTTATCATTACATTAAGGAAAATAATGACCTTCATCACAATATGCTAGTTTTTTGAGAAGGACCTGTATAAACTAGGAATAAAAAATAAAAAAAAGTTTTGTGTTAGCAGGATTTAATTCTAACTTTGAAACTAATCCAACATTAATAAAACTTACCTCAAGTTGCCTTTTTGGACATGCACGCATATTTTTCTACCAAATGTACTTGAGAGGACATTATTACAGTCTCATATAAAATCAATAATGATGAGGATATAGGAACTGGATCGGTATCGGCCGTTATCCAGATTTAGGCATCGGGATCTTAAGTTTAAAAAAATATTTTTTTTTTTTAAGTGGATCGGTGTATCCCTATTTGCAGTATTATATAAAATTAAAAAAAAAAAACAAGGGTAATTTTACTGAAATTACTTGAGTAAAGTATTCAGTCTCCAAGTATAAAAATAAAAAATAATGATCCTTCTGTTATTTAGATTGAAAAAGTCTGCACAAAATATAGATCAATAAATGCCCCACAAAAACTAAGTCCAGGTGATGTTTCCCAAAATAACTAAATAAAATTCAAGCTTAAGATCTGTTGAGCATAAATGTAACATACAACAAAAAATATGTTGCCTTTAAATGAGCTATAACTTCCAAAACTTCTAACAAGGTGATCGGCTGGCCCTGAAGCTTGTTGGTGTTTCAGCTTTCTCTGTTCCTGCAGGAATGATTCATTTTTCAGATGCTCTGTCTCTGTTCTTGGCCCATGGACTGTGGAACTCAAGAGACAATTGAGCTGCGCATTTTTGTACTGACAGTTTAGAGAGGGGGAGAGGCAGCCTGCACCAGCAGCCCAGAGAAGGGTGGGGAGAGAGACAAAAGACTAGCTGCGTTTGTACTGGCAGTTTAGAGCGGGGGGAAGGGACAGTTTAGGGCTGCAACTACCAATTATTTAATAACCGATTCATCCGCCAATTATTTTTTCGATTAATTGGGGGGGGGGACAACGTTTTAATTTCCACCCCTTTATTCCAAAATTGAACATTTGACTGACATAGCAATTCACACAAAAAACAGGTTGATATGTGACTATTCTGTTAGTAAAATATTGAATAATGAAAAATAAAAGTTAGTCAAATAGTTTAAAAAAATCAATGTACACAAAAATATATACAAATGTATACTTTATACCTGCAAAATATGTAGCTACTTTGTAAAATGTGTCATTGAGGGAAGAGTGTAACCTGGATTAAAAGTGTGGATTATTGTAACCTGGATTAAAAGTGTGAATCATTGTAGTGAAGCCTTTGTCTTCAACCATCGACAGAGGCCTCGTGTCAATGACTCTCATTTAAGGATGATTTCAGTGAAGACAGCTGCTTGATGTGGTGTCCATCATGTCTTTCCATCATGAAGGCGATCATTGTTTGTTGTTGTTTTCTGGAATGAGAGAGGAAATACATATTATAGCATAATTTACAGCAACTCAAGAAATGCCTTGTTTCCCTTTCAGTGTTAGGTTCAGGCAAAAGTAGCTCAAAGAGCAATTACACACACACACACACACACACACACACACACACACACACACACACACACACACACACACACACACACACACACACACACACACACACACACACACACACACACATATAAAATACTTAATTACACACATTTGAGTAGATGTAATACATTACTTTAATTCTTGTGTAAATGCAATTCATCCTGCCATACTTGCAGTGTCTTCAGACATTGCCAGCAAATTAAAAGTTGAAGCTTAATCATTAAATTATTATCTGTGTGTTAGATTTATTTATAAATCATATTTAAACACTGCTTGTACTAATTAAATTAAATAAAAAGTAACACACGTTCTCTATCACCGTCATTAATCAGATAAACAAGCAGCTTCATCTACCAGAGAGACTGACGTTACGTTTTCTCACTTGGAAACAGAACAAATGTGAATATTGTAGAGACTCACCTGCCAACACAAGTTGGGAGTGAGACGAGTTGTATCAGCTGTTCAGCTCCTTCTTCCTCCTCATGACTCCAACATGTTTATGTTTATCTCCGTGGTTCTCCCATGTCGTGTCGTCAATTTTCAAAGCAGCATGTTTCTCAGTTTTTATCTTTGTGAAGAGCTCCCACCCACACTTTGGAGGACTTGGGTCAAACAGTTTTCTCTGCGTTGGTCATTTGTAAAATTTACTTAATTTCCTTTGAAAACACCACCTCTGCTCTGCTTCCGCCTCCCCCCTCACTCTGTTCAACTCGCGCTGCAGAGTTTTTTTTTTCCAAACTTTATTCAGTCAGTAAGCATTGACAATGAACAGCAGGTGAACAAAACGGCTCCGCAGCGCCGTGAAAAACGGATAATCGTGTGACACAACGAATCGATAATGAAATTTGTTGCCAACGCTTTTAATCATCAATTTTTATCGATTTTATCGATTCGTTGTTGCAGCCCTAGGACAGTTGAGCTGTCTGTACCTGCAGTTTAGAGCTGGATGGATAGACAGCTGAGCCACGCATTGTTTGTTTTGAGTTTTTTTAGCTAGCTAGTATTGCGCGCAACTAATTAGCGTTACACCAGTACCGATAGGTGGAGGGGGTGTGTGCAATTTGGTGTGGTCATTTGGAGCGCTCTGTTCTGTTAACGGGGCGGGGCACCCTGACGTGTTACGTCATGAAATTAGCATATCATGATATCATTTATTTGCCCAGGCAAGCTTTTTTACAGATATTATTGTCAATGATTTGATATGGCCCACCCTTAGTTAGGTTAGTGCTTAGAGTACTCAAAATCAGCTGATTTACGAGCTAAACCGTAAGATGGAAGCGATTTGTGAGAATCGTAGGCCACCTGCGGCTTTTGAGACTCGCCAGCATGTTGGGCAGGACCTTGGAGGGAGCTCATAAGCACGGACCAGTGGAATGCCCACAAATCTGGCCATTTTGGATTGAAAGTACCAGCAGAACTCAAGGTAGACAAGATAACTGTCTGCCTAAAAAAAAAATCAACAACAGTGGCTTATCAGAATCTGACTGCCTCGTTTGGCCTTGAAGCAGGCCAACTTATCAAATTTCTCCTGGGATTTGTGTAAATTAAGAAAACTCTGTCCACTGCAACCCCCCACCAACCCAGGGACTTAAGCGAAGGCTGATCAGAGCTTTACTGGCTGACACCAACATCTTATCAGGACTATGGTGCTATCTGGAAGTGCTTCATGGACAAATCTCATTGTTTTGATGTCAAACGTATATGTAATGCGTATATAAATGTGCTTACTGGTAGAATTTTTTGATGTCTTAAATCATGTCCTGATAAGGACAAGGTGTGATAAGATATTTTTTGTAATACCACTATCCTCTCCTCATGGCATTTTCCCCTTTTCTATCTAAAACAATAAGGGCCACACTCTTCGGAGCAGCAGCAACATGCACTCTGCCCATCTTTTGGACAACTGTACGAACATAATCTCACTATACTTCAATGTACAATGATAAAGATTATTCTGATTGGACAGAACTTTACTGATCCCGCAGGAAATTGTTGTGCCAGAGTTTCAGTGCAAATGAACATACACAATGAATAACACAAGGTATACAATTAAAATAATATATGTAAGTAATCTTTATTTATATAGCACCTTTCACAGACAATAACATCACAAAGTGCTTCACAAGCAAAAGAAAAAAGAAAAAGTAAACAAAATTTAACTAAAAGCCAGTCTGAATAAATAAGTCTTAAGATATTTTTTTTAAAGAGTCAGTAGAATCTGAGCAGCGCAGTGACAGTGGGAGAGCATTCCTCGGGGCCACCGCTTGGAATGTTCTGTCTCCACGTGTTTTAAAGTAAGTTCTTGGTACCATCAGCAACATTTGATTTGAAGATCTCAAAGTGCTGATGGGACAGAGAGGCGTTAAAAGGTCCGATAAATATATATATATAAAAATGACAGGGAACATAAAAATACCAGCAATTAAGTTCTAAAACTCTCAGGTGTAGACAGAAACATTAAAGTGTTTATTGTGGTGCAGGATTAACTTTATTGTCCTCTGTGTAGAAGGGGGAGGAGTTGAAAATTTTGACAGCCACAATCCTCCTTGGTTTCTGGCAGGGGAAATACCTAGGGCTGGGTACCTTTTTAAAAAAAGAAAAATCGGTATCGGTACCGGTGTCGGTACTTCACTTCGGTGTTGGTTCCTGGACGGTTCTTTTTTCTGTACCAATTTTGTAATTAATATTAATTCTAACAAGAATAAAATTACGTTACACATTACAGTACATATTGTGAATTTAATTTTTTAACTTTGGTATTTCCATTCCAGTTTTCTTACATAAAAATAAATAATTTCCAGTTCAAAAGAACAGTTGCAAACAACCAGTGACATGTCAGTGTCTAATGCTCACTGCTACACACTGAGGACCTTTTCACTTAACAGTTCTTCATCAGAAAAATCAACATGTCTGCTTTCTCTGGATACAAACAAGCCTGCTCCTGGCTGATGGTGTCTCCAGCAGTAGGAAGTGTTCCCTCTGAGGCTGTAGATGATTGTTGCACACACAGATCCCTGGTTGTCAGTTTGATAGCACTGACATATTGTCCCTTACATTTCACCAGCAGATCACTGGATTCACTGAGGTTAGGGTTGATGGCAGACATCTGCACCTCCTTTTGTCTGTCTCTGTCCTCACATCAGGGTCAGAGGCTCCTGTGAGGAGAAGATAAACATGAACAGTGAACATCAGGGTAACTGTTTAAGCAGCTGACTGGATGGATGAGCACATTTTTACAAGCCAAGCTTAATCTGTTACTGTCATTCTTTAGTTAGCTTCTGAGTTTAGCTAGCAACGTAGATAAAATAAATTTACACACTAATGTCTTAAAAGTTAGCATTACATGGATTCTAGTTTAATTCACCGCAACGTACGTGTTAAGCTGCAGTAACATTAACAAACGTAAACTCACCAGCTGAAACACAGACACATAGCCGTCCTCAGGCGTTCTTTGATAAAGACGAGTCGGGCCGTGGAATGTCGATTCCGTTTAACACACAGACTGACTAACGCTGAGAGGAGAGGGGAAGCTGTTTTCTGTCTTCTTGCAGAAAAACACGGAGCAACTTTCTGCTTGTGTGTTGTCGAAGCCGTTCGACAACACGCGCTGCACACATGAACCCCGTCTGTGGGCGTCACCAGCACCATAGACATACATTATACATAGATTAGGTACGGCAGCTCTATACAGCTCTGTGTGTAAACACGTAGTCCGTTTGTCATACGTCTGATGTTTTACCTGTGTGCGTGCTGAAACCACATGACACGTTACAGCCAATACCGAAACTTGACACCGAAAAAAGAGTGACATTTCAATCCATACACCGACCGGTGCAGTTCAGTGGGTGCCATTTAAGAACCTCGATTCGGTACTCAGCCCGAGAAACACCATCTCATTTTCATGGCGTTCCCTCACTGTTATTAACAAAAATCCCTTTTTAAAACTGACTCAGCACAATGCTGAGTGACTTGAACATGGATATGACCGTTTAATCAAGGCAATAAGGTTTGCTCTGAGTGGACCACCACTCACGGTCCATAAAGAACTACCACTGTCTGGTACAGTAACACAAAGAGCTGTAGACAAATTCTCACATTAATCACTTTCATGATGACTGGGGTTTTATTCCATCAGTCCTGCATAACTGGACTGAAAATGAGCTGCCGTCTTGCACACAGGTAAAAATCGATTCAGTATTTCAGCAGCGTCCTCGGTCTCAGAGCCTTCGCAAGATGTCATGGTAAAACATGCAAGACTTTCTCCATGAACATCAACAACAGAGACGTGCCTGCACACAAGTGTGGGCTCTGACTCACCTGCAGCAGGCAATCCAGTGTTCCCTGGTACAGCGCTCCTCCTCTCTGGTTCATCATGCGGGTTCGGACTACATCTACCGGGTTTGAGGCCAAAGCCCCGGCAAGGCCACACACAAAGCTGGACCTGAAAAACACTCAATACGGGTGACACACATGAGGACTATGAAGTTTAGCATCACATCAGATGTTCTGCACAGTCAGCATCTGACACGAGGAGGAGACCCTCGAGGTCGCTCAAACTCACACAAAGTGTGTGCACACGGTGTCCCCCATGTAACCTGAGAGCATCAGGTGCTTCTTGGTGAGGTCATACACAGGAAGCTCAACGCCGACCACAATAGCCGCCCTCTGGGCAGTAAGAGAAACACCCTGAAGCAAAGACAGGGAGTGTTGGACCGTTGGCAGCTGGACCATCTGAGATGGGGTTTACGGGTATTTTTGTAGCTTTTGTTTTTAAATACCTTCCACAATCCTCTTGTTCCCTCCTCCTGGTAGATGTGGATAAAGTTGCCCATCATACTGCCCTGGATCACGTTTCCCTGAGCCTGCATCCGGATCTGAGAGAACAGTCATCAGTTAAAGACTTGAGAAAATGCTGACCTTTCGCCTGAGAAGAATAAACACATTTGTCTTTCTTGTGTTCATTTCTTCACAGTATTTTCCTGTAGTTGCTTTTGTTCGCTCGAACATGGATTTAATAAACACAAGCTGTGCACCCAGCACTGTGAAACACAATGTTCTTGACATGCTGAAGAATGTGATGGAATGGAAAATCCTTAAAGGTTCTCTGTGAAGTGTGGCTGGGCAGAACATCATGATGCAGATAAGAACTGGCAGTCCACTCCTTGTATCATTTACAGAACGCTATGTTAGGCCTTTGAGATCCGGCTCTGTAAAATGGCCACTTGTGGCCGTGAACGCGCTGGGGTCACTTTCACTTCACCAAAAAGAGCTCGGCTCACTCTGGATGCTCAGGACTGAGTGTTACTTTCAGGAAAACTACTGCAGATATTGCAGAGCGCCGGAACAGTCCTGTGCTGCTGCTTAAGATGCCAAGATAACACGAGCGTTGTGTCACAAACGGCTACCTTCAGCACATCGGTGGGGTTGGCGATGGAGGAGGAAATGACTCCAGAGAGAACGCCACACGCCACGTTAATCAGCAACGTCTCATCTGGAAGACAGAAGGAGGACATTTAAAATCTTGTGTACATGTACTGGAAGGAATTCTGTGAGATTTCAGAACTTTTTGTTTTCAAAAGGGCCAAATCGTTAGTTACGTACTGTAACCCCAGATTCTATGAGTATAGGCGTAGCCCTTTAAGGCTGTCGCTGATGGGTTTATCCCGATATGCGAAGCATTGCACTGAAAAATTTAGTTCACGCCCACTTGCTGTGTGGGCCCCACCCGGTCCATATAAATTACATTAAGAGCAGGTAATCGGCTCCCAAAATAGCTTTTTCTTCAGCCATTTAGGAGCCAGTGAGGCCCGACGCTTAAAGGGCTACGCCTATACTCATAGAATCTGGGGTTACAGTACGTAACCAACGTTCTATTTCGTATAGGCTACGCCCTTTAAAGCATTCGCTGATGGGTTAAGGGCCAAGCGGATGTTGTCCTCGCCTCACTGGGTCCATTCGAACACCGTATGAAGCAGAAGCTTGCCCAAAAAACGTCTTGTCACTCAGCTGCCCATGTGCGTAATTACGCATTGCGTAATTATGTGTGCCATGCACAGACGCATGTTGTGTAACTATGCGTTCTGACAAAGCATGAACGCCCCGGAAAACTTCAACGGGGAAGGAAAAAAGCTGAAAAGAGCCATGAACCAACTGCTTTACGGCTGAACAGTATGAACAGATAAATAATAACAGGAGAGCTGATTATTAATCAAATGAACTGATTGGTAACGATAGTCATGAACTGATTAATGACAATAGAACCAAAATAGCAATCACAATTTGTGATTGATAACAACATCTCACACTGTAATGCATGCAGACAGATGTGAGTTAAATGGAGTTCCATGAAACAACAATATTCATTCTGTAAACACTACGGACAGAATGTGTCATGGAACGAGCAGTCACATCACTTAGATAAAAGCGAATGAATGAGCAGGGTGTTTACCACGCGGCCGCAGTGCAAATGTCCTGCATTGTCATACCATTATGCAAGGCAGTCGAAGATGTGATACCCCTGGTCGAGTGTGCTCTGAGGTTGACAGGGGGCTCTAAATCTGATGCTCTGTAGGCTTCAGAAATGGCCTCACACAGCCAGTGTGACAAGCGCTGGGTGGATAACGGGCGACCTGCAGACGCATCTCTATAATACACAAACAAATGTTGAGTTTGACGCATTGCAGCTGTGCGCGCTATGCAACACGTCAACGCCCACACCGGACAGAGAAGACAGAAAGACGTTACTTCTTCTGATCTGTGGGGGGTGGGGGAAGAGAAAAAACCCCTCCAACGATATCACTCTTGATTTAAAAGAGCTCGTGATGTTTTTAGGCATAAAAGCTGGGTTTGGTCTTAAATCAGCTGAGCTGCCGTCAGCCTGAATTCTGAGACATGACGGAGCGACAGAGAGAGCAGATAAATCACTCACTCTCTTAGCGGATGTTAAAGCCAGCAGCAGGGCTGTTATAAGAGACAAGAAATTAAGTGGAACCTGATCCAGAGGCTCAAATGGAGCTTTGATCAGAGCTCGCAGGACCAGCGTTAAATCCCACTGTGGAACAAGTGGGCGAGTAAACAGGCCTGCGTCTCTGTACACCTTTTAGAAAATGCTTCATCAGCAGATGATTAAAACTGTTCTGTCTCCAAAACCTTCGTAGCAGGAAGAGATGGCTGCAGCATACGTTTTAATCGTGCTGGACGCCAAATTTCTGTCCATCAGCTGTTGTAGAAAGGACAGCATGCCACCTAGTGGACATGATGTGGCCTCTACACCATTCTCTGTATACCAGCGCTAAAAAGCTGTCCGATTTGATGTGTACAACGCTGTGGTAGATGCAGCACGTGAAACCTGAATTGTGCGCACTACATCCTGTGGAAGACCCGTCCTCTCTAAGCGGATCCGTTCAGCGGCCAGACCACAGGTGCTGGCCTATTTCTGGGTAACTCCTGATCGCTCCTCCTGCCTGGAGGAGAGCGACCTCCATCCACGGCAGTTTCCATGGGCGTCCTGACAGCAGGCGTTGCAGGACTGGGAACCATGGAGCGTTCACGCGTTCGGGGACAACCAGGAGAGCTGTCAATCCCTCCTCCTGAACTTCGTTCAGGAACCGTAAAATCAGAGGAGGTGAGGTGGAGGAAACGCGTACATAAGCATTTTGGGCCATGGGCTGTGAGCAAACGCATCCACCCCCAGCGGTGGTTCATCTCGCAGGCTCAGAGAAAACCATAATTGACACAGCGTTTTCTCGTGTCGCAAATAGGCCCACAACTGCTATTTCAATCTGAGTCAAAATGCTCCGTCAGAGGATGATTAAAGGTTGTTCTATCTCCGACAACTTTGAGACGAGAAGAAAACATGGCTGCAGCATACGATAATCGTGCTGAACGCCAGATTTCTGTCCATCGACTGCTGCAGAAAAGGGCAGCATGTTGTCCAGTGGACATGAAGTGGCCTCTATGCCTTCTCTGTACACCTTTTACAAAACGTTTCATCAGCGGATGATTAAAGCTGTTCTCTCTCGAAATTTTCGTGACAGGAAGAGATGGCCGCAGTTAACGTTTTACTCGAGCTGAACGCCAGATCTCTATCCATCAGCTGCTGCAGAAAGGACGGCACACCACCTAGTGAACATGAAATGGCCTCTACACCTTTCTCTGTACAGCAGCGCTGAAAAACTGACCACTTGATGTGAACAGCGCTGTGGTGGTTGCAGCATGTGAATCCTGAATCGTACGCACTACATCTTGAGAGAGATCCATCCTCTCAAAAGGATCCGCACAACGGCCAGACCACAGGTTCTGGCCTATTCTGATCAACTCCTGATCGCTCCTCCTGCCTGGAGGAGAGCGACCTCCCTCCACGGCAAGTTCCACGAGCGCCCCCATAACAAGTGTCGTAGGACTGGGAACGATGATGTGTTCACGCACTTGGGACAGAGGAGCTGTCAGTCCCTCCTCCTGAGCTCGGTTCAGAAAACCGTGATATCAGAGGGAGAGAGGGAGTTGAAGAAGCATTACGACCACAGGCTATGAGCAAACACGTCCACCCCAGCGGTGGATCATCCCATGGCTCCATTATAATTATAGTTGACATTGAGCGTTCTCTTGTGTTGCAACAGGTCCACAGCCGCTCGCAGGAATTCTGCCGTGTCTGAGCCATAGCTCTGGGTGGAAGGTCCCCGGTCCCCGTGCCGCAAAAGACCGTCTTTGGACATCACATCCGTCGCCTGTTCAGAACACAGGAGATGCACCCTACTCCAATGGAGAGCAGATTGGGTGTGCCCCACACAGCATCTGTCTCACAATGTGACACATGGGTTGAGCACATGCATCTCCTGCCAGTTATGTATGCAACAGTCACTTGCTGTCTGTGTGAATCAAAAACACTTATGATTCCGCAGCACATAGGCAAAGTGTTGAATCACATTCAAAACCCTGTGCGACACTCCAAAAACATTTAAATGAGCTGCTGTGTGGAGAACCACAGCGCCCCCACAGCTCGTTAAATGTGTGTGCCTCTGTAAAGTCTGACATGTGTGACGTAGGTCTGCTGACGGAAAACAGCTGAAATCACTCAACCGGTTCACGTGAGTTGCACTGCTGCCACCTGTCAGTACAAACTGCTCAGCAGCAGCAGATGTCCAGATAAAGCAGAATTCTCCTCCCTGCTCTGTGCGGCGGCTGCAGAGTGGCTCGGGCGCATTAATGGAATGTTGTTTCTCACAGTTCAAAATTGACAAATCTAGAATAAATCTCATCTTTCCGGTTCATTGGGACCAGGGAGTGACGAGAGGAACCCTGTGTTTTCTTCTCCTTCTGAGACTCTGGAAATCACATTTTAATCAGAATTTCCTGAGCTTCTGCGAGAGGGGACAAGATCTGTTCTAGAAATGACAGAAAACGTCACTAGAGTTCCTCCGCACTGGGGTTTGGGCTGTACTGCAGCGTGAATCCCCGGATAAAAATGGTTCGCCTATCCGTCTGGAGCATGCGCTCATTGCCACTCGTTTATAAAGTTATAAAGCGGGCACGCGTTTATGCTGTGAACTCACATGCATGCTGATGTGAGCTGGTGCGCACTGAAGGAGAAAGAAAAAACGCGCTTCCCCCGAGCATGCAAATCGTTTGTGCGTTTGCTGATGCTGCGGGACGAGGCTCAAAAGTGTTGTGCTCATGTTGTGTGCAGCTGCTCCGTGTAAGCGCTCGGGGAGCGGGTGCACGTATGAGCCGACGTGCCCTGAAGAGTCGTGTGTGCGCGCCCTCATTCATGAGACGCCTTAAGCGAGGCTTGCCAAGGGAGCGCGCGTTTGACGCTGGTGCGGTCAGGAAGCAGCGCGCGGCATCAGTGGGGCGAGGTTACCACTGGGCTTGTTCTGCAGAACACGCTCATTCTTGGCTGCGAATCACGTGAGCTTTTGAGTAATTCCACGCGCTGCAATATTAATTCAGAAAACCTTCATCGAGGATGAAGGAGCAGAGCCGATGTGAGGCTTGTGAAACTGTTGACGCCGCGGGAGCGCGCGTTTGACACCACTGCGATGAAAATGCGTGTCGCTCCTGCCGAGAGCGAGATACGTTACTGGGCTCGTACCGCGGTCTCACGTTTACGTTGACGTGAACAGCGGGCGCTGAGAGCTGTGTGCGCGCTTTCATAACGCAGCGCCTTATAGGTGAATGCTGCTCATGCCGCGGAAGCGCGTGTTGGCACCGCCGGCAGTGAATGAAACAACCTTAAAAGGCTCATTCGTGATGAGTGTGTGTGATGGGGCCGCTTGTCAGATCATCCGTGCTGACAGCCTGGCTAAAAGACACTTCATCATAAAAGGATGTTTATTTCACATCGTGTCATCAACACACCTCCAGCAAACAGACACCTGGTTATCTTCCCCTGAGCTCCGTTTGTTGTCCTAGAGGGCCCCCTGTTGGCGGAGTCCGGGAAAAATTGAACTTAAGGATGCCGGGGACATCTGACGGGAGGGACTGGCGTAGCAG